TCAGATAGGAAAATGGTTTTTACCTAATACGTCTGTCACGAAATTCCTATAGTTAAAGACCCTGAGAAGTATATAAGGCATTCACATTTTAACTGGTTAAAGTTTTAGAGCTTGTTGTACTGATATACAACATTGTTATTAATTTGAGGGATGAGGAAAGTGGTACTGATTTTACTCCTGTTGGATTTATTTTACATAAATAATGTTTCTGGAATTAAAACATTAAGAAAATGTTAACTTAAGGGTTCAAGTTGTTGATTTTTCCCAGCTATTTAGTACTGTTTTGCTATCACAAGTCATCTCAGTATATTTCAGCTGATTTATAACTTGATACTCCTATGTAGATACTTAATTACCTTTGAATATGGCAAATAGTTAAAATTTTGGCAGACTTTAAAATTATTAATAACATTCAACAAAAGAACAGTTAGTGGAGTTTTCCTGGTTTTATTTCACAGGTGGATATCCAGGTAAGATCAGTGTTTGTTTTTAAGATTGAATTCATGTTTTTAGACTCACCTGCTTGGATAGGCTGTTTGGTGTGCTGTAATATTTTATCATGTGCATGAATCATTAGCATAATTTCTGAAATAAGTTACTTGGGTATTTAAAAACTAGTATTTATTTTCAGAAATACTTATATGTTGAGCTTTATCTCTCACTGTGGGATTAATTTATATTTTTCTAAATTGAGCGACTACTCCAGTTATAGTTAATAACCATTATGAAGTTAAATCTTGCTGCTGATAATTATTAAATAGTTTTAACTTTAGATTGAACTAAAAGTGAAAAGATAAATTATGACTTTAAAGTCATGGCTGGAAATTGGAAGATCACGTAAAAATACTAAACCATCACTTAGCATGTCCTCTCTGACAATACCCAGTAGACGCTCAATAAATGATAGTCAAGTGTGGTTATGATGAAAAACATAAATGATATTAGACTGACTAGTAATAGAGATCTGTCATGCTAGAAATTTGCTCAACAAGTTAATTTTAAAATCATTTTAGATACAGGTTCTCTTGGTAATTTTTTTTCACTTTTATCATTAAATCTCAACCTTCACTTTGTTTTGAGGGATCCAAGTGAAGGCGAAGCCAGTGGCAGAGCCGACACCTCAAGGTGAGGAGCCACTATTAATACTTCGCTGCTAGGTCCCTGTGTGTGAAAACGTTCTTTTGAAATACTTAACAGCACTTAATAAACATGGAGAGAACTAATAACTAGATAGAATGTGCATTTATAGTTTTATATTGGTATGGGTTTTCCTAATGTTGCCCAGTATTTATTATTAGCTTTGTTTGTGTTTTCTAAACATTATTTTGAATTGTATGCCTTAGAGCCTTTCTGTCCTATTAAAAAAATGTCTTAAACATGCAGAAGAATTAATAGATTAAAATGTACTGATCCTTTTCTCACAAAAATGATGTAAATAAAATTAGTCAAATAACCCAGAACATGAAGGTAAGCAAATACATAAGAAGCTGTGATATTAGAAATATATTTTAGGGGACTATTCATTGGTGGACCACATTTCAAAACTCTCACCCTGCCGTATTTTATTTGACACTTAATACTGCTTGTGTATTCATTTTGGTGATGGATCGCAAAATTGAGCACAGTCAGAATAGGGTGGAGGGCTGGATGAACCAGGTGGCTGGGCCCTACCCCTAGGGTTTGTGATTGGCAGGGAGGGGCATTGATGCCACTGGTGTGGACCACATTAGTGACATCTTAGTGCTTGTGTTGTATTTATAAATGGGAAGTCTAAGAAATGAAGACGTTTGATTATTTTGAATGTACACCAGCATTAAGGGGTATAGATAAACCTTAGAACGTTGACAAGCAGTTCCTCAGTAGAACAGAGGCCTGGCTTCATTCAGGGATTATATTTGACCAGCTAAGCACAAGTCTCAATTTAATTTCTCCTTTTAAAATTACTTGAAAAATAAGACACCATGAGCTTTGGAAACCCTGGTGGTTCAGTAGTTAAGACTGCACTTTCAGTGCACATGTCGCAGATTCAGTCCCTGGTTGGGGAACTAAGATTCCACGTGCCATGTGGCCAAAATCAAAAACCACCGTCAGCTTTGGAAAAGCTTTATTGAGCATCCCTATGTAGTCTTTTTTTACAAACTGTGCTGTGTGTGTGTTTAGTCATAATAGTTGAAATGTTTCTTTTCCGGGGTTAGGTACCCAAGTCAGCATAGTAGGGAGCCAGAGGGAGGCAGAACAATTTTCAGCCTCCTTCTGCTTGTTAAATAAACACGCACGACTCTTGTTGTTAGCCCCTCCCTCGCTGAGTCACTTAGTCTTGAGCCCTCTTCTTACAACTCATCCTATCTTTCTACTCAGTTTTCCTCTGAGACATTTAACAGCATGTAAGGTCACAAGTGGCTGCTGATATTGCAGTTAATCTGCATGCATTTATCTTTTTAATGTGACTACATGTCTCTCTCTTTTTTTTTTTTTTGCTTTTGAACAAAGTTATCAGATACCTACTATCTGTAAGGTACCAGTTGGTCATTTAATCCTCATGACAGCCAAGTGAAAAGTAGACATTTTACAGATGAAGAAGCAGTAAGGAGCACCGGTGGGACCGAACCTGTTACAGTGAGGTTTTGTCCTATTCATGGTGGTGAATAGCGCTGGCTTCGAGCCAGACCTCATGGGTGTGAGCTATGCTGTGCCACTTAACCTCGCTGTATACGTTTAAGAAAGTTACTTTAACTGTTCGCACCCATGCTTCCTCACTCTGACTGCCTCCTAGTGTTGTTTTAAGGGGCAGATGAGAAATTAATACATGTTAGGCACCTAGAACAATTCCTGGTACCTAGGCTTCCCTTGTGGCTCAGCTGGTAAAGAATCCACTTGCAATGCAGAAGACTTTGGTTCAGTCCCTGGGTTGGGAAGATCCCCTGGAGAAGGGAAAGGCTACCCACTCCAGTATTCTGGCCTGGAGAATTCCATGGACTGTATAGTCCATGGGATCGCAAAGAGTTGGACATGACTGAGCGCCTTTCACTTCACTTCACAGTAAGTACTCCTAAGTCAGTGTTAGCTGTTACTCTTGATGTCAGTATGTCCAGGCACTTTGTACAGTTAATGTTACAACAGTGGTGATGCCTTTGAGATACAGGTAGAAAAATACCTTGTACATGCCTATTGTCTTAAGGTCACCAGGTTTCCTTGATGGAATGGAAAGACAACTAGACTTGAGTAAAACATCTGATTTCTAGTCTTCGCTTTTCACTGTGGAAAAGTGATTTAAGTTTCCCAGTTGTCAGTTCTGTTTTTAAAATTTGTGTTCAATCACATGGTCTCCTCGGTGCCTCCCCACCCTAGCACACTGAACCCATGGCCCATGTTCTGCATATGGTCCTGGTGAATGACTCTGGTCGGATCTGCACACACACCCAGAGACCTGTGATGTCATAGCTTAGATTTAGTGAACAAATAAGAGAGATTAGTAGAGAAGACACTGAGATAAGTGTTCTCCATAGTTGCTTGATAGTCTTTGGAAATTTATCTTCTACACTTTTTTCCCAATTTTCTCAAGTTTGCATAGTTGGCAGAGGTTTGTCTGTTGAAATATCTAAGAATGAGGAGGAAAACAGATAATGTAAATGAATACATAAAAATGTATAAATATAAACATATACGTGAATATACATTATATGATAATGATGTAAAATGTACATACTGGCATAAAATATTTATATAGTAGAATATAAATTCCTTTCAAATTGTATCTTTTTTTTCTTTAAATCACACGCAAGTTAGCTAGATTAACAAGTTAAAATGTAACATCTATGTTTGGATAACTACTCAACAAATTTAATTACAGCATCTTCTGAATCATAAATAATTATTAATTTTACCATTCTTTGATTATTTGAAGTAGGTTTCTGATACTATATTATTTATGGGGAGACCTCCTGTAAGGAAAATCCAGTAAGGTTGACTCATTTACAGATTGTGCATTAATCTCCTGCTATTTGCTTAGCACAGTTGTAGATGTATAAGATACATTAGTGAACAAAACTAACAAAACTCCTCGCCCTATTGGAATTTACAATCTAGTGATGAAGACAGATATAATGATATAATAAGATAACAGAGATAAATATAATAAGTGAACTAAATAGTATATAAGAATGTGCTAAGTTCTGTAGAGGAGAAATGGAGCAAGGTAAGGAGCTGGCCGTGCCAGCGGAGGCACAGTCCTAGAGGCCGCAGGGAGAACATGGGCAGCCAGCTGAGGAGGAGGCGCGCATGGCAGAGGGAGCAGCCTGTGTGAAAGCCCTGAGGCAGACACGCACCCCGTCTGTTCAGAGAACAGTATGGAAACCAGTGTCTCGATGGGTGTGAGCAAGGAGGAAAATACTAGATGGAGGGTTAGGGGTGGGAGTTGGGGTATAATAGGTCCCTTGGAGCCCTGTAGACTGTTTGAAGGATATGTTTAGCAGAACCTTGAAATCTGATGTTTGCACTCCTGCATGTTACCCCACTGCAGAACTGCATTCTTTCTCCACATCATCAGGTACAAATAATCCCACAGTAGCCATTACTGCTCTTCTCGTCCCCAGACCTCCTGTGCAAAAAAAAAAAAAAAAAACAGTAGAAAAACAAGAAAATTTTTCTTTGTATTTCAAAAATGCGTGTTTATAAGCAACTTGCTTGTGGTCTCCATTTTGTGTAAATGTATAGAAAATGGAGAGTCTGCATTTTCAAATGAATATGAAGGAAAAATATCAAGTTGTTTGCTTTTGGATGCAAACATTTCCCACAAACAAATATAAGAAAATAAGCTGTTTTAAATGGAAAGTATTAATAAGAGTCAAAACAGATGGCATCCTGGAATCTCATTGTTGTAACAGCAAGATGATACAAATCTTTGTATCTACTTGAAGGTAGTCTACAAAGAGGCATTTTATTAGCCCCTGGATTGTGACTGCTTATATTTTGTGTGTGTGTTTTGATGTCTTTGCTGACAGTTTTTGTCTTCATTTTCCACCCTACCCCCTCTGTCCTCTTATTCCAGAAGTACAACAGGGGAACCAAAAGAAAGAGAAAAGGAGGAGGGTAAAGATTCTAAGCCACGTTCTCTGCGGTTCACGTGGAGCATGAAGACCACTAGTTCAATGGACCCCAATGACATGATGAGAGAAATCCGCAAAGTGTTAGATGCAAATAACTGTGATTATGAACAGAAAGAGAGGTTTTTGCTTTTCTGCGTCCATGGTGATGCCAGGCAGGATAGCCTTGTGCAGTGGGAAATGGAAGTCTGCAAGTTGCCACGACTGTCCCTCAATGGGGTCCGCTTCAAGCGAATATCCGGGACGTCCATCGCCTTTAAAAACATTGCATCTAAAGTAGCAAATGAGCTGAAGCTGTAAAGACACTCGAATTTACAGGATCAGGGAAGATACACCCATATATGAGGTACAGTTTTTGAATGTACTGGTGATGCCTAATGTGATTGGCCTGTGAATCTCCCCATGTAGAATTTGCCCTTACTGCAATAAGGCTATACATAGTTATGAACTATAAAATTAAAGTCAGTATGAACTATAATAAATATCTGTAGCTAAAAAAGTAGGTTCACATGTACAGGTAAGTATATTGTGTATTTCTGTTCATCTTCTGTTTATAGAGTTGTATAATAAAACAGATGATTGCTTAAAAACTTGTATAGTTGTCTAGATTTCTGCACGTAAATGTACGTTTGATGCTTTGAGTTGAAAATGTTCTTTCTGTTATTTACATTCTGGTGGGTTTTTTAAATTCTTACCTCCATCATGCAATTTTGAAAATTGTGTCCAGAGTTAAAAAAAGTGCACAGAAAACTAGTCTTTACAATTGTAGCATGGACTTTTAAAAGTTATTTTTAAACCATATTTAAATTTGAACCAGAAGCTGATAAATAGATCAGCTTTGTTATACACAGAATTACTCCTGCTTATATTTGCTCTTATCCTTGTTATCAGACAAGGTTTAGTTGAGAAGATACAAAATGTTTACAGTGTTGGCACTTAGAGGTTTTAAAATAAAGTACATGAAAATAATAATAGCTTTGCCTTGAGCTAACTAAGAAGTCCTGGGGAAGAAGTTAAATCTACATCAAATTTCTTTTGAACTTGAAAGTGTTTCCTGGCCCACTACTAATTGGAGTGGCAAAATTAAAGAGAGTCAATATTTTATCTGGCTATTATAGTGTGTCACTTAGGTTTGTTGCCTTCCAAATCCCATGACATTAATTGTGAAAGTATAATATAATAATGTTGGGACCGTTTCATAGCACAAACTCATCTTTACAGTGTTGAACAATGCATCAGTTAAGAAATAATGCCACCTCAGGAATTAATGGGCATTGGGAACGTTTGCCTCATGCCTCCCCCCAAGCCTCTCCATCCACCCCTGACATAGTACTATCTGTCATTACATAAGAGACTTTGGAGCAAAACATGCTATTTATAATAGTATATTATTGATTTACGCTTATGTGGTTGTTCAGTTGGTTCCCATGTGACCTGTTTGTTTTTAATATTTTGCCAGATTTCTTGTATTTATTTCACATCATTATGCCTATAGTGTGCAGCTTTGTAATTGGGCATTTGCCTACTTTTCTTTAATAATTAGTGATATATGCGATGTAAAACCACTAGTAAAGGTACATTTTAATACTTGTTATTTTCTACTGAATTAGCCTTGGAGGTTGACTGTGCAATGTTATTTAATGTTGTAATTACTGTAATATCAGCATATGGGCCCCATCTGCACACTCCTGAGAAATAGAAAGTGTATTCCAATTTCATCAGTTTAAAGAGAAATAAAGCTGTGACAAAATACTGTAATTCTAGCCTGCATTAGAAAGCTCTAAGCATAGGTGATGTGCCATTCCATGATGGCTTCCAGACTAGGGTGATCTGTACTGTACTGTGATGTAGCTTTCTTCTGTAACAGCTGTGTTCTAAAATGAAGTGTATTTTTGCCTTAGCAGAGGATGGTGTTTGGAAACAAAAGACAAAAAACAACTGTGTAGCCCCCTTTTAACCTAGTGTTCATTCAAAAAAAAAAAATGATGCAGATCTCTATTCACTTTCACTGGTGCACACTGAAGTTTTACTTGAACAGTTCTCCTAATAAAGCACTTGTCTTTTGCTCTTTGTCAGAATGTGAATTACCTGTGTTCTAGTGCAAAAGTCTTCTGTATGGGGAGTGTCTTTTGTGTATGCTGAATTTAGCTAACAGGGTAAAAGCTATGTAGGTTTTTGAGATGTCATTATGACATGACAAGAAAATTTTTAATCTTTTTATTGGAATTCCTATCAATTAAAACATTTTTTGAAAAATAGACATGCTTTTTCCAAAGTAGAAGCTGAATGATTTTTTTTTACATTTTCTCACTCTGGTTATCTCTTCTGTGTTTGTAGCAAGGAATTTTACTTCAGTACTTTTTAATGAGCTAAAAATGAAATATTAGTATTCACTTTAGGTTTTTCCATTTTATATGGCAACATAACTTTTTTTGAAGATTTAGAGAAGTTTTATAGTATGTTTGCATAAATAACTACCAGATTATATTCACTGACTATGCAATATCAGGATTTCCTTCATTTCTGTTTAAGTATTACTTTATATAACATTGCTAATATTAAATTATTTTGTAGAGACAGTATTAATTTGATAAATAATAAGATGAAATATGCTCCGAAATCCTGACCCAATAATATAATCTAAGAAGGGATTTGATTTAAAACCCAAAATACTTTATTGTGAAGTGATTTTCACCAACAGTACCATTTCACAATGTGGGTAAAAAAAAGACATGTGATGGAGTGAAATACCAATTTACTGTAAATAAGTGATTTAATGCATGTGTCTGTCCATCAAGATCTCTGCTTTCACTTTAAAAATATCTATTGAGGGACCTCCTGTGTCTTAAAATATATAAAGGAATTGTAAAAGAGGTTTTCCTACTTCTGCAAGATTTTGGTCCATTTGGGAAGACAAAATATAAACACACCCAGACCAAAAATACATACCCAAATAGAAAACAGTGAAAGTGCTCAAATAAGCACAAAGAATAGATGCTGTAAGAATTCAGAGAAGGTGGGTTCTGTATCAGCATGAGAAAAGAAGGGCATTTGAGGGATTTGAGGATGGATAAAATTCAAGAAGGTGAATGGAAGGAACATGTGAGAAAAGGCTGGAAGTTCGTAAGGCTGTAAGACACATTTTAGAAATGAACCAGTTATTCTGTGGTGTGACAGGGTTTACCTAGGTTGATGGATAGAAGATTATGTAAAGCATTGATTGGCAGCCTCAGCTTGAACTTGACCTATGATTAGAGGGAAGAAATTTGGCCTTTTCAAGCCCAGGAAATACCTAATAAATTGATTGTAAATGAACAATTCATTAATTCAGCAGTTTTTTCAAGTACCAATATACATCAGATTCTAGGTTCTGAGGAAACAGCAGTTAAAAAAAAACAAAAACCTGTATCTAATAGAAATCTGTGGGATGATTGAAGGCTAGATAGAGCCAGGAAGATCTTTTCAGAGGCTATTAGCTGCAAAGCATGGATGAAATAGTCTAGATAGAGATGATTAACATAGGATTGAAAGGAGGGTATATTTGAGAGACATTTCTAAAGCTGTATCAACAGGAAAACATGAGTAGGATGGTGGCCCATATTCTACTGAGTGGAATGCAGGGAGAACTTCCTGGCATAATCATTCGAGTTGTCAGCTTGCACATGAAGACTTCTGCTTTCATCCAACATTGATAAGTACTAGAGTTATCCTTCTATCTAAAACAAGAAAACAAAGACAAAACATGAAACAACAGATTCGAACGGTGTTGTCATTTTGATGGAGTGTTTTCAAAACATTGTATATCAGCCAATGAAGGACAGTGATCCCTAAGAGGAAACAAGTGAAATGAACCGTGTGACTGACCCAGCTGTCTGTCTGGAGAGTTTCTAGGCTGTGACACATGGAGGGGAAGGGAAGGCCACGTGGAGCCTGGTGTCCACCTTCATTAAGGAGTTGGAGCTGGGAGACCAGGGAGACCGAGGCAGCTGAAGTCTGGAGGGAGACAGCTATACCAAAACTCCAGAGATAGGCAGAGATCAGCACACACGTCGAGAAAACTACGTGAAACCAGCGAAAGGACCACCTGAAGTATCGGAATGATCCTCAAGCCTCATACAGAAGTAGTACCTGCTCCAGCCAGCCACAGTGAAAAACCTCATAATTCATGGGTCATGGGGAGAGTACTCAGAAGTTTTGCCTCAGTAGTGGGAACCAGTTAACCCTAGATTAAATACTGTGGTGTTCTGCTTAACAAAGTTTAGGAAGCAATATCCAGAAGAACTGTTTCTAAGTAACTATGTTCCAGAACAGAGCTCAAGAATATTAATAGGAATACAAAGGATGCATTACCTGGCATGGTGATATTCATAATACTTAGCCTCCATTCAAAAGTTTTCCTGCATGCAAATAATGTTCTAACTGAACTATTGTAAAAAAAAAAATTAGATCACACATTTATGTAGAAACTTGTCTATATTGCATTTTTAATTTTTTAAAGCCAGCATGGTTAAAAATTAAATTTTTTTCATTCATCTCATTGGGCTGTAACATCATTTCATTTTTCTGTACATGTAACAGAACAGTACATGTTCATGAGTATAAAGCAAGAGATGTGTAAAGGAGAAGGGTATATGATGAGGAATTATCTGAAAAAAAAATTTATAGTACAGCCAGTGCATATTTCAATTTTTTCAATGCTCTTGGCACATACTGTATGTTTTGGAAATAAATCCCTCAAAACCATTTGTAGATATGGAATATCATATGCAAGAGACATCATCTTTTAAGAAAAAGAAACTTAGATAACTATTGCTGTACTGTATTATCATTGCAAATAGACATGTTCTGTAAAATTTCCTAAATAATTGCTGCTTGCTTAGCTTACCCTTAGTGGTTTGATGGTACTACATTTGATAATATAGACCAAATGTATGGAAAATGATATTTCAATCTTGATCTTAATTTTCTAAGGAAAAAAATGTTAAATTTTAGTGATATTCACTTCGAAATATGAAATTGAAAGAAGCTGAGGAAGACTAAGATCATCTCTAGGTAAGTCATGTTTTATCTTAGATGATGTCATAGAAATATTAAAGCAAGTAAAATGATAGAAAACCATCAATTAATACCTGCTTATTGTGAGAAATCAAAAATTTTAAAACAAAATGTCCAACTCATGTCTACTTACATATAAACAAAACCAACTAAAGTTAACTATGGATTCTCAAAATGTTAACTTTATTAAGGTGGAACCTGAGTTATATTGGGTTTATTGTTTTCTCTTTATGCCATCTGTAGCT